CAAAATCCGACTGCAAAGGTGACTTCCACAGCCTGGCACTCCCAGAGGGAACAACACAGCGGAGAAACGACGACCAAAATCAGCCCTTTATTTGACAACTGCAACTGGAGAAGAAAGATTTCCTGTATAAGCTATACTCAGTCAATAAGAGTTTGCAATATATTATCATAAAACTCAAAATGAAGTGTGTGTATTAATGTTGAAACAGAAGAGTAAATATCCAACAATGATCATGTAACTACCAGATGTGTTTTATGGAGTATATCAACAGATAAAAGATGGTACGTGGTATCAGCTGTGTGCATAAAAAGTGGCAAAAGAAAACCTGCAGATGATTTTATTACACGTTGCTGACTGGCAGAAGAACCACCTTGCAGTATAATAAACTATAACCACAGAGGCTCTGTCAACTAACATAACGTTGCATCTGCAGCGTTATACATACATGCTAGCAATTTTATAAAGGAACATAAGTGTATGCAGATTATATGTCTTACAAATGCTTATGATATGATCCACACACGTAAACGTAAATGATTTACAAATGCGGGCAGTGATTTGTGTGTAACTTTTGAGGACTCACAAGCACGTGCTACAAAACTATTTTACAAAAGTGTATACCTAAACCTGAATGAATATTTATAATCACAAATGCCTAATAATATATTTGACATTACTCTTGCTCACTTACAAAACCTTGAATACGTGTGCAGAAATCTCCTGATACACACAGATCACGTTGCATGCCCAAGTGGGGTTTTGAGACAAATTTCATGCCGTCAGCTTCGCACTGATCCACAAATGTAAGCTGTGGTCATGTGCTAGTGTAAAACTGGGACATTTGTGCTTCCTCTGTCCTGCAGGGGGGGTTTTCCCAATTAAACTGGGCTTTTCTTCTTCTAAATAAACAGAACACCCTTCTACTAGAAAACATAGATTTACCAATTACAGATACTACACGGTGGGCTATAAAGGTTAACATATGGCTAAGCTGCTGCTACTTGCTGCTTGAAAACATTGAGTCAGACCTCAGCTGCAGATGGTTGAACACGTTGTACATCACTGTGGATCATACTCTGAAGTGACTAAATACTAACTAATCTCTGCATAATTTGAATATAGACATAATCCAGGTAATGTGAAATAACACTTTGATGTTAATCTTAGCATTCTCTAATAACAGCAGGCTAACATTAATGTTAGCTTAATGACTAATCCTGAACATCTCAGGATGTAGCAGCAGCTTATTTAAACCATATGTTAACCTTTACAGACAACTGTGTGGTGTCTGTAATTGGAAAATCTATGTTTTCTGGGTGACGAGTTCCTCTTTTTTGTTTAGAAGGAGAAATGCCCACTTTATTTGAAAAAACCACAGGACTACAAGCAGGATGTTTGTTAGTCCCTAAAAGTTAGCCACAAATCATGGCACACGTTTGAAAATCATAGTCTACACTTATGAAGCATTCTGTATGCATTCGTAACCCTTGTGAGACATATTTCTCCCATTACAAGTGTTCGTTTTGGCTCGTTTTTCTTATCTCTTGATAATATTATTGTTCTCCTATGAAAAAAATCTAATAACTCAATCCCATTATGGTTGAACCCAAGTTCAGGTCTCATACCTTTACCCTTGACTGCGAGGGGTAACCGTGATTCACGTCCTAAGGCAGAAAACAGACAACCATGATGAAAGAGTGATAACAAAGCTAGAAAAGACAAAGCAAAAAACATGTTGTAGGGCCATGGAAAAAGGAAAAGGCAACATATCATGTAGAGTTTGGTATTATGGTTGGTGTTACATTACGTTAAAGTACTAAATCTAATCAATGCAAAGGCCACATGAGATCTAGTCTTCTGTTTTGCTTTATATGTTTCTTAGGCTTTTTGCAAAGTGAGGAAATAAGACACAGGAGTCTCCTGTCTCTCTGTCCTTGTCTGGGGCTCGTCAGGTCATTGCGCACCGCAGAAAACATGAAAATTTATGTAAATCTGACCTCCGGCTCAAACGACACACATGAAGGCCACATGCAAAACTGTCAACAATCTTTTACTAGCACTTAGATGAGATGACTAAATTTGGGCACAGTGAGTTCATCGTCACGAAGGTGGATTTATGAAGAACAATTGTGCTGTTTCCTTTGATTGAGAATATCACACAGTTGAGGAAAAGGGAACATAAAACATATACACTGGAGAAGAGCTGTCATTCTCTGAAAAAACAAACAAACAGACAGACATGGTTTGCTACCCAGACTTGTTTATCTGTAAGTTGTCTGCACTAACCCACAGAGGGAAGGAGATTCTTTTATGAGAAAGCTAAAGCTTTCAATTTACAGCAGGGGTATAGGGTGTGCTTGTAGCTGTCAAAGTAATCAATTGCAAGGTTGAAAGAACACACAAAAGAAGAGTTATATCCAGGGGTGTACGAAGGGTTTGAGATGAGGAAACAACTGTTGCTGTCAGTTTGCTATAAATGCACTCAAAATACTTTTGGTTCATTATCTTCTCACTTCAAATCCTGTTGTTGTTTATTTGGCTATGTGTGATTGGGTCTTTTGTTTTTATGACTAAACAAGTGGAAAAAATTGGTTTGTACATCTCAAACTCTGCAGCCAAAGTAGAATAACTGTGGAAGTTACTGCGTTTTGCACTTTATCACATCTTCATGTTCAATAAAGCAATATTGAGTATCTGGTTACTCTGACACCAAAGGAGTATTATCTTTTACTTTTTCTTAAACAACTAAGCTTTTACAGTACGCTAGTTCAGATGTGCTTGTTTCATCCAGAAGCTGTGGGATATCTCAGTCAGCACTGCAAGATACACATACATGCACTGCTGTATGTGTGTGTATGTGAAACCTGAATGATCATAATTTTCTTCTAGCTGTGGACTGACCTGTGACATCGCAGTATATAGTTTGGCATCCTCAGGCTTGAAGATGATTGTGAAATTTGCTATGTTGTTGGACAATATTTCCCCCTTCGGAACCATGTGAAGACAAGAAGGATTATTTAGTGAAACAAATGCAAAAGTTAGAATAACAAGCCTGAAGAAGAATACAATTGATTCATTTGTCAAGCTTAGCTATAAAAACACACACACCGGTGTCTGTCTCTGTGTGTGTGGGTAACTGGATAGGTGTATTCATACACAGACTGCTGACCATTTTTCCTCAAATGCCCTCTCAAACATTGTGTAGTAACTGGTCTACAGACTGTTTTCTCTCTCACCATGACACTTTCATCCTCTCTGCCTCTGTCTTTCATCTGTGTCCTCTCTCCATCTGTCCAGGGAACTGGGCAGAGTTGAGGAGAGACGACACTAGCAGAGAAAGGTGGGGGCGGTGGTGTCACAATGGGTCATTCTGTCTGAAGGTCCCTGAACAGAAACAGTCCAGTCTGGGACCCTACTGTTACCGAGGAGTCACGCGGGGTTTACATGCAAAAAACTGGTTTGAATTTTAACTCTTTGTGACCGTTTTAACCTCAGATGTGATTAACCGATTCAACACTCTGTTCTCACAGCCACAATGCAGCTTTGATGCCATACAGCAATACATGTCCTACAGAAAGATCCACAAAGACAATGAAGTAGATATTAAGAAGGGAAACATTTTTGTGATGAAAACATATGATACACATTAAAAACTTCATAGTTTCCACAGTTATGCAGCTATCTGGGAAGGCCAAAAGCTGGTCCTCTGTATTCCTGTAGGTCTCTGGACTGCAGTGCGAGGTAATGGACCCCTGTGGGGTCAGACTCACATGGAAAAAGCAAGTGCTCCCGCTCTCCTTCTGCCTCCTGCTCAAGCACTGAGCCTTCCCTAGAGAGAAACAGGGAGGGCGAGAAGGTAAAAAGTATAACAAAGAGTGAATGAGGAGGGTCAGAGAGAAAAAGAAGCAAGGAGAAGAACAAGGAGCTGCTGACAGAAAAACGTGATGAGTACCTGAGCTATTTCTGGTAACACATGCTGTGATAAAAAAGAAACACAATACTGAAGAGAATTCTACTTGCTACATAGAGACAGAACGATCAAACTTGTCTTGTGACAAACATATTCCTCTGTAGCCTCTCTTAAAACATTTTGCATGTGTCCATAAATACCTCAGTAAGTTTAGGTCCTCCTCTTGCTGGCTGAACCGCACAGTCCAGCGGTACTGAAGAGGGATATTGTTCCTGTTGGCGAGGGACACTGTGCATGTACAGGACAGTGAGGTATAAGTCTTATCCAACCAAATAAAATCAGGTTCAAGATGGATGTTCAGTTCCTCACAAAACCCATGCAGGCTAATGTACACATCTTCTCCTGAGCACAAGACACTGCGATGTTTATTATGAGACACAGAGTGTCACAGACGTGGTGGCATATAGGCCACAAGAAATTAACTTAACAACTGTGGTGCTCAGTTTGAGTCAATCTATTCACAATATTGCCTGACATTCATGGAAAACTTTCACTTCATTTATCTAAACATCTCAGTGTCTTGAAATGAATGTGAATGTCAAAAAACACCAAGTGGAAAATAAATATGATTAAAATACCACTACATCACACATTCGTGTGGGTATGGCAAACATGCTTTCAAGTTTTTCAAGAAGCCAAAAGAAACACAGTCTCTTCATTTTGCAGGACAAACAGGGTCCCATCATATGTGCACACTGCCAACAGTGCAGCAAAGAGCAACAAAAAGTACAATGCAAAACCAGGTTTTGTATAAAGCTACCAAGAATAAGGCCATATGTAAATTGAACATGTGTTTGTTTACATTCAAAGCAGAAGGACGGGCATCTTAGTCTGCACAAACACTCTACTTATTCTTTTCTGTATTTGTATACCAAGGTTCAAGTTTTTTTCTGAATTCTAAAGACTGAACACTGATTTGTGTCTTTTTCTGATGTTTTAACCATAAAGCAGTGAAATTAAGAGAGATTTCTTGAAATGAAATGAAAATGGGATTAAAGTGAACTGACAGCCATGGAAACTTGCCATTTATGATTTCTTTGAACCCTCAGTTTTGTACCTCATGCCTTTTGGATCAAACACAAAGAAAGCACAATGTATTACAACAAAAGAACAAGTTCTCTTAACTTTGGTTTACACAAATAATAATTTGAATGGGATTAGATTTCCCTGCTGGATAGTGAGCAAAATCTAATTTCTAAATTAGTTAAGGATTAGAAATGTGACTCCTGTCTGATACTGGAAAACTTTATCTTGAGGTTTGGAATGGCATAAGTATGCTTCTGCTGAAATTTGAATCCAACAGTGTTTAAAGGAACAAGGATGTAGTTTTGCTAACAAACAGTACCCAAAGTTACGAGGCCATCAACTTAAAAGCTGTAGTTTCACACCAACAACAGATGTTGAGAAACAGTGTACACCGCATGCAGAAAAATGTCTGTAAGATCTGAATATTGTGAATCCATTTCTTTTATTTTGTATGCATCATCTTAATTCCAGCTAACATGAGACATAGGAGTTTTAAATTACACAGAAACACCACCTGGGGTATTTCTTTTTCTTTCAGTTTTTAAGGACAATTTTATTGGTCAATAACATATGAGTAAATCTATGCACACTCTTTAAAAGTAACAGAACACAACAGATAAGCAAATGTGTTTCATAAGATGAGTGATCCTATTAGGTTTATGCTCACTGCAGACTGGATAGGACAGTTTTAATCCATCTCTGCCCTGGGGTTTAACACAAGTGAGAAGAACTGATTAACTGGCACCTGAAAAGCCTTATTTGTGAGAACCGCAAAAGCTTCACTTGTAGCACAATGCTTCCAATCTGACTTCTTTACTTTTTAAACCAAGTGATCACAGCCTTTTTGACCATAAACAGAAAAACCAACCAAACCAGACTGTGACAAATGTACGCTGGTAAAATCTATACAATGACTGAGCGTTCCAAGACACACATTAGAATTCAAGGAGTTGTTTGCTTACTGGGCCAATTATCACAGAGATCTCAATCATCTACCCAGAGGCAGAGAGAAAGAATAGAAAAGTAGCCTGGCAGAGGTCCTAAGGGAGGCCGATTCTTTTCTTTTACTCTGCTAGAAAGTCTACAAAATGATGTGATATCATCGGACCGAGTAGAATCAAGAAAAGAAAAGAGAACACACAAGACGGGGGAAGAGTGATAGAAGGAAATGAGGCAGCGAGAATGACGAACTAGGAGATCCAGAAAGAAAAAGCAATTATCTCCCAGCATCCGGATGCTATGACAGCAGCTGACAGGCAGGGAGAGCTGCAGCTTATTGCAAAGCTTTCATCATTGCTGTCCACCAGCCCTTGCTTTCTCTTCACATAATTTCTCTATGTACACAGCAGTGGAACTTCACAGACCTCTCAGCTACCTTTGATTACGACACAAACAGCAGTGTGTGTGTGCGCGTGCGTGCGTGTGTGAGCATGCAGCCTTGAGCATGTGTGTGTTGTGCAGTTGCTTCCTGTTTGTGTGTGTGTGCTGTTTTTTTTTGTTTTTTTTTAAAAGCTGCTATACTCAAGTCCCCCTCAGCACTAAAGCGCCGTCAAAGCAGATGCCTCAGTGCTCCCCAAGAGTTGTCCTTCTTTTCATTTAAACCAGCAAGAAGTGACACAGGAGAGGGAGTGCAATGGGTGGATGGGGGTGTACTGGAGCAGATGAGTCTCCACTGACTTTTAAGACAGAACAAGCACTGTCTAACTCACCATAATGAAAAACAACTCAGCTAAGCAAAATATTATTTTTTTTAAAAGAATGACGGCAGGAACCATTCCAGCGTTAAGTGCTATCGTGCAATGTACATGCAAATCAACACATACTAACATAAACAGCAACACACAGACTGTGTCTGCTAGCCTATGCTAAAGCTCAGCAGAATAACGACTTCTGCAGCATGCTGATCTGAAACATACATGAGAGTGAGGGAGGCAGGGAAAGGTGCTGAATTAAAAATGATAGTCTCTAGATGGGCTGTAAGTGGCGTTCTGGATCGGGGCTGGCTCTCCAACTATAAAAGCTTAATGCTGCTGAATAGTGTTGTCCCTCCTACAACAAACCTGCTAGTTTAAGTAGCCACACAGCACCCTTGCTCCTTTAAGGTCACGCAAAAACTGAAGATTAAAAAAAAAGATTAAAAAAACAAACATATGGAGAGCTATCTAGCTAAATCAAGAGTTCCAGGGAATGGTAACGCAGTCATAAAACAACAACCACAGTCAGAACAGTTTATCCAGTAATAAACAGACAGTTTTTCATAAGAAGAATACTGTAGACTTTAAGGACCATTACTGATAACTGAATGAGTGTTTACCCACCATGCAGCCAGATTCTCCCTCATATTCACCCAAGTTCAGACACCCATAGAGTTAGTACACAAAAAATAGCTAATAAGTTTGGAGTTTCTTGCATGCCACAAAGCTCTTCAACTGCATTTGTTAAACACCACGGAATTATTCTCCTTAGACAGCAGGATTAAGTGCCAGGTAGATGAAATTAGCTTTAAATGAGCTTTTGATGTGGCCGTTTTGGGTCAGGAATAAGTCTGATTTGGTTGTGAGTGAAGCATCTCAGAGATTAATCCACTTAACTATCAGCTAGTCATTTTTTGCTATTGCTATTTTTAGTGTGCAATATTTATGTGGCAGACAAAGTGCTCGATCATCAGAATGAATTATAGTTCATAACTGTATGTGGCTTGCTGTGAGCTGAGCTTCTTATGAAACTACACTGAACCCTTTGTAGCGTACCATTAAATCCTGAGAACCCGCCTAGGTTAAAATTGCACTACTATTCTCTAAATTGATATGAGATATTTAAAATGAGGTGAGATGAAGACTTTAAAACCACTAATTTCCAGTTAAATTATCTCTTGCATTTTCTGCTGAACAGGATAAAAAGCCAGCAACTTTATGCATTCAAGGTTAATTGATCCCCTTGTGCATGTACCAGAAGAGTCAAAGGCTTCATCTTTTTGCTTTTGATGTTAAAGAGTCTAGATAATTGTGAAGGAAACTAAGATTACCCTTAAATCGTGTGACTGCTGTGCATCAAGCTGCGGTCTGGTATAAGTGTGGCTAAAGCCTAGCAAATCAGTCACAAACACATTTAACAAGTTTATCACAAATGAGTAGATTCATCATAACACAAATTTTAAAAAAGAATAAAATTATCACCCTGTATCAAAACAACCATTTATCCAGCAACGACATTACGTAAACTAAGAAGGGATGAATGATTCATTAGTTTACTGCACTGGGATACAAATGGACTTGTTTATTAAAGGGGACCTATTAAGCTCATTTGGCATAATTTTATTCTAGGACAGCTTAGCTTAGCATGACTCAGAGTTCTTCTTAAATGCAACCCTATACTGAACCTTTCTGCTACAGCATGCTGCAGACAGATATTTAGCAATGTTACTCCGTTGATGTAACATGTAATAATATGCACTCATCTGTTACATCTTAAGTCAAAAGGTCATGAATCTTAAATGCAAAACCAGTTATTTTCATGCATACACATTTTTTTTTTTAAACACGCATGTTTAGATCAAGAAGCAAAAAGAAGACGATGAGCAAATACTTTGATTACCCCAGTAATCTGTCTGCTAGAGACAGGTGTGGGAATAGAAAACATTGCTAAGACTGGAAATGTGACAGAAACACTAAAACACACAGATACACACAAAGAACAGTATAAAACAAGCTGTCTTCACATCTGCCTGCAGGGAATTCCTGCAGATGACATTCATGTGACCATAGTTTTGTGTGTTTGTTTGTGCCGTCACTGGTCTCTGCTTCAGCATCACCACAGCTAGAGAAACAGAATCTTATTCCAGTGTTCACCATTGTGATTAAAGGAAAAAACGTATTCTGTTAGTTGACACTGCTGATTACTGACAAGATTTGGAGAAATCTTCCATTCATGGCTCTGACAGTTACAAGAATAAACAAGGAAGCGCTTCTTTATATTTTGAAGTTTCACAGAAAGATAACAACAGAATATTATTATTATTATACTCCATTTACAGTCAACTTTCAATGAAGCTAAACTGAATATAATTTGG